TCAAAAAGGTGTTTTTTATAGTCTCGGTGGTCCTTAATGGTGCGTGTGGAACTGAAAGTTTTGTCACTCTTTTACCTGAAATCTCTATTTCCTCGCTTTACTATTTCTCTTTGTTGTTACACGTTCTATAGACCTGATATCTCCACGTGGTTTACCTTTTGTTCTGTGTTTAATGTATGTTTGTGCGTATGTTTGTTCGTTACGTCTGACTAGTCAATAAATTCCATTATAATCAAATGAATTGTATTGTTTGCCTCACGAGAAAATGTCACTGAAATACAGATTCCCCTGCCTAGCTATTATAAGTTATTTAATACTTTTGAATGATTAATCTACTTCACAAGAAGTAGCAATTAAATTCCCTTTTTCTAAATGAATAGATTACTGTGTCCGCTCGGAAAAGCGGCGGCTCTGCTTGTGTTTGTTTGGTCGAATTTGCAAATTGATCCGGAATATTAATGATTAATAATAATTTGTTATTGTTGATAATTAATATTCATAATCTGGGAGTCCGCTCGGTCGCGCGAGCATGATCTTATACAATTATATGCTTGTTTGACCAAACTGACTGAAGCTTAAGCCGGAATATTAATAATTAAGAATAAACCATTATTGTTGATTATTAATATTCATAAAATGAGCTAATTTCATGTTACATGCAATACAGGTAAATTGGGTAGGCTAAATTGTCCATAGTGTATGAGTGTGTGTGTGAATGAGTGCGTGTGGATGTTTCCCAGAGATGGGTTGCGGCTAAAATGGCATCTGCTGCATAAAAAACATGCTCGATAAGTTGGCGGTTCATTCCGGTGTGGCGACCCCTGATTAATAAAGGGGCTAAGCTGAAAAGAAAATGAATGAATAAATGAATGACTTTTTTACTAACTAAAAATCTCAAAATGTTTAACTTTCTTTTGTGGGATACTAAAAGGAGAAATTATGCTTAAATAATGCATCATAAATAAAACTGTTTGCTGAAGTGTAGTTCTGTTTTTATGTTTTATGTGATCTCAGTATGCTTTGATGGATTGCTTTGTACATCATTTAAATGAATGGCAGCTTCCAGAACTTGTAGTTTTTAAGGTAAGTTTTTCTGTTATGTCCTATTTGTCTTGTGCTTTTGTGCAAATAGTGTAAATTAATCATCACAAAACTGACATGTATAACCTTCAAATTAATATAGTTTTAATGTACTATCTTTAACATAAAACCTTACAAAAATACTTTGTAGTGCAAGCAATTCAGTTTACTACATTTGTTATTCTTGTAGTCTTTTACCCATAACAGCTAATGAATTGTAAGTCTAACATATTCACAAAAACAGGCATACCTTCTTGCAAAATGAGGTGGATAATTGGCAATGTGTAGATGAAGATCAATGTGTAGAATTTTTAACAATACCCACAGTTTAATTCAGTTTTTCATTTGTATTGTGTGTTCATACATTTTTTTAAATGTATTTGCAGGAAACATGGTTTGCCCAAAGTTGAAATAACAGACCAGTCCAGGGTACATTGAAGAGAGGCTGAGGAACATATAAAAGCATCTGAGGCACTTGAGAAGACCCTAAAGAGAAAAGGAAGATGCACCAAGCAGGACAGTCATGCCAGGTAATTGGTAGATCAATTTTTTAAAACAGTAGTTTAAAAAAAAAAAAAAAAAAAAAAACTGCAATCTTAAATCCCATAACTTTAAAATGTCAAGTGAAAATACTTTTTTGTTTAGCTCATATTTTATTAGGTAGCCAGCACCCTTAAATAATACTTATATAAAAAAACAATTAGTATAATGTACTTTTTGAGTTCTTTTTTTTTCAAAACACTTTTGCTGATATTGAGGGGAGGTACGTGTAAAGTTTGGGATAGGTTTGGTGGCTTGGCTAGATGCGATAGTGGGTTAAGATATAAGTGATAGGTTAACAGTGTAATTCTAAATATTGCAGAAATTCATTACAGTCAATCTGGATAAATGTGTCTGTTAAATGTAAAATATAATGTAAGATCATGTAACAAGAAATCTGGTAACATTTTACAATATTTTGTATGTGTTAATATTAATATTACCATCTGTTAAAACTATTCCTTCAACTAACATAAAGTAACAATGAGAAACAAATTTGTTATAGCTCTTTTAATCTTTGTTAATGTTAAAGTTAATGTCATTCATTGGTTTATGTTGTTTCACAAGCATTAACAATGTTTGCCATGCTTTGTAGGCCAGTCAAGTGCTCAATGTATACCCACACTTGACTCTCACACATATTTGCATTATCTGTCCTTAAGGTTGGAACAAATATGGTGGAGTACCTCCAGCAGACTGAAGCATCAAGACTTTTCACTTATGTCACTTCAAAATGCACACATTGACTCCCAGGCATTTGTCATGCTGCCAGTAAAAGCTTTCGAGCTAAGGACGCTCACAGACAATTTAGCTTATTTAATACACCTATAGCACATGTCTTTGGACTTGTGGGGGAAATCGGAGCACCCGGAGGAAACCCATGCAACCACAGGGAGAACATGCAAACTTCACACAGAAATGCCAACTGGCCCTGCCGGGACTCAAACCAGTGACCTTTTTGCTGTGAGGCGAACTACCATGAACTACCATGCCATCATGAGGTAGCATTTTAGTTTTATTTGTTTTTTTTTTTTATTTGTTTTTATTTAACAGATTTAGATTTTTAGTTTTGTATGTAAACAGCTTATTGCTTGAGGAAGAGTATTAATTTATGTTCACACTTTGATGAATATTGACATTTTTGTCCAGCACAAATGAATATATTATGAATATATGGTTCATAATATAGACTAAAAACACTGCTTTGTAACAAACAACTGTTGAAGTAATTTGTTGTGCATATGGATTTATGTGCAAACAGCTTTACCAAACCTTGAGTTTCTTTGTAGTTAATGAATTTTTTAAATGTTTAAACATTTAGCATTTTAAATTCATGTGCATGTGAATTCATGTAAATTTTTTAAAATGTTTCACCTTGATGTAATTTGGAGAAAAAAACTTAAAACCTTAGGAACCCAAACCTTAAAACCCATATATATGAAACAAATTGTTTTGAATGCAGTTTATTGTCATGACTGTCTGTGTACACTAGAGGGCACTGTAGTTCGAGATTAACACAGAGCGAACTACAGTCCCTAAAGAACTACAATTCCATACATACCTCGTTCACACACCCGGAACCACCTACACTGATTTGCAATACACAGCTGTCTCCGTTTTCCTGTTGTTTTCCAAACCACTGTTTGTTAGTTCGTCGTTCGTCTTTGTTTTCGGGGCCTGCCATTCTATCCTCGGGAGGGAGAAGAAAAGCTAGATTGAAGCTGCGGGCTTATCCACGTCGGGCTACCCAAAGACCTGCTTTTTCTGAGCCTCTTGAGAGACTTCTCGAACTCTGCGAAACCCCAGTGTCTGCTCCAGCCCCACAGCGCCTGCCAGTGTCGGTTCCAGCCCCAGAGCATTCTCCTCTGACTGCTGACAACGCCCCTCCTCTAACTCAGTCGACCAGACGGAGAACGTGTAGGAAGAGGACTGCTCCAGCCCCAGAGCGCCCGCCAGTGTCGGCCCCAGCCCCAGAGCGCCCGCAAGTGTCGGCCCCAGCCCCAGAGCAGCCGCCAGTGTCGGCCCCAGCCCCAGAGCGCCCACCAGTGTCAGCCCCAGCCCCAGAGCGCTCCAGCCCCAGAGCACAGTTCAGTGCCGGTTCCAGTCCGGCTTCTTGCTTTACCGGCTCCTTGCCCTGCCGGCGCCACCCAGACTCCTTGCTCTGCTGGCCCCAGCCTGGCTCCTGGCCCTGCCAGTGCCAACCAGACTCCTGGCCCTGCCGGCCCCAGCCCGGCTCCTCGCCTTACCAACGCCATCCAGACGTCTTGCCCTGCCGGCCCCAGCCCGGCTCCTTGCTCTGCCGGCCCCAGCCCGGCTCCTTGCCTGGCCGACCCCAGTCCAGCTGCCTCCAGCCCCGCCGGCTCCAATCCAGCTGCCTTCAGCCCCGCCGGCTCCAGTCCAGCTGCCTCCAGCCCCGTCGGCTCCAGTCCAGCTGCCTCTAGCCCCACCGGCTCCTGTCCAGCAGCCTCCAGCCCCGCTGGCTCCAGTCCAGCTGCCTCCAGCCCCACCGGCTCCAGACCAGCTGCCCACTGCCCCGCCGGCTCCTGTCCAGCTGCCTTCGGCCCCGCCGGTTCCTGTCCAGCTGCCTCCAGCTCTGCCAGTTCCTGTCCAGTCGCCTCTCCAGCCAGCCCCCCACAGACCTCCTGCCTTGTGTCTCCTGCGGGATTGTCCCTGGGTCATCCCTCCCGCCCCTCCCTGGTGGTCCTCCCCACTACTCGGGACAGATCCTCCGGCTTCACCCTGGTTTCTTGCTGGGGTCACTGACCTGCTGAACCCACCCTGGACATTCTCTCCTGTTTCTTCCTGGTCTGACCCTCCCATCCCTCCTCTTGCTCCTCCTCCGCTCCACCCCATCATTAACTGCAAATGGATCCACACCTTTTTGTCTCTGTCTATCATCGTATCGTGACAGTTTATAATTTGTATTTACTTTTGCATAGTCTCTTGAATTTTTTATTGATGTAAAGTGTGTTTACAAAATGTAATGTGCTTAACAATTTTAATGGAACAAAAATAAAGCTAATACAATATTGACCTGCTTGTTTATATGTGGTTAATGATTTTAAAATAAAACAAAAAATGACATTTAAAAAAAAACTATTTATTAAATTAAATTAACCTATTATTTAAGTAAAAATAACTAATTATTGTGTAAAAAAAAAAACAATAATGGGGTTAAAATAATAATCTAATTACTTTGGTTAATTTAGACCCTGGTGTGTTCTGTCCCATATTTACTCAGCAGTACGGTTAAAAACAACCCAATTTGGGTAATTTTTTAACCTGTGTTTTTTTAGAGTTCATAAAACAACACTGCTTTTGAAATCAAAATACTCTAAAGAATTGTTAGGCTGTATAAATTAGGTAAGCCAGAGCCAGGAACTGTTCCCAAAAATACATTATATTTGATTACACACTTCAGGCTTTATTCAGGTATGTCTCACAGGTCTGTGAGGCAAACGTTAACAGAGATTTAGCTGTTTTCTTTGATATGTTTGCCAGTTCAGTTAACAGAAGACACAGAAAGATAAGGCACTCTCTCTGTCTGATTTACAAATTGTGATTTACAAACACATTGTTTTATTGTAATTAGTAATAGATACAAATAGAAATAGACCCTTTGCAGTTTTGCAATCTGTGTTTGTCTTATTAATGCAATTAAAACATTTTCAAGGTCCTTTTGTGCATTATGTACTAAAACGCATTTATGCGTTTGCCAATCCCAGGGAGTTAAAATGCATCCTACCTCCACCATCTGGTCCTTTTGCTGTTGGATTTCATTTTCTTTCGGCTCAATCTGCTCCTGCATATATTCAGCCCTGAACTCCATCACTTCAAGTGTTTTGTTCAGTGTGTCATTCTTCTTTTTTAACTGAAAGATGTTTTTTTCCTGTTGAGACAGAGCAGATGTTTCTCTCAAGTACTGTTCCTTCGCTGAAACTAGTCATACTCACATGGACTGAATCCATGTTGCTTAATTATTTTAGTATCACTCATGTTTTGTGTGTTCTCCAGTCGTATACAATGAGCTTAGAATTTTTTTAGATAAGTAAAATGTACATATTGTGATTTAAATGAACTGGTTATATTTTCTTCAACTAAATCTAGAATATATAAAAAACATAAATATCACTAGAATTAAATTATATTTTAGTTAAGACTAAGGCTAGAATATCAAATGTAATATAATGTAAAAAATATTTAATAAGCTAAAATATTAATAGATACAATAAGAGTGTGTACATTATACTAAAATTATGGCAGTGTTCATGTATGCTCACCTTGTCCTGAATGATCCCATCCCTGTTCTGAATTGCAGTTTTAAGCCCAGTGATGTCATTTTCTAATGATTTGATCACTGCCTGCAACCTCTGAACTTCCTGCTTCAACTTCTCTATCTCCAAATTCCCATTTTCAATTTCCCGCTGCAGGTCATGAAACTATATGACAAAATAAACCCTAGATAAGGTTCAGCTCCTTGCACATTTGTCATTTTGGTAACACGTAAAAAAAGTTTTAATTAGTTAATTTTAGTTATTGCATTCACCAACTAATAATGCACAATTCTTCTGAAGCATTTATTAAAGACAGTTCAATTACATAGTTCAGTTCAATTACATTAACATTAGTTAATGCACTGAGAGTAATTGTGAACAACTGCATTTTCATTAACATTAGCAAACATTAAATACTGTAGTAAATGTGTTGTTCATAGTTTGCTCATGTTAGTGAGCCCTTCTGAATTAAGTGCAGTGTGTGACACCAAAAAGCTTCCCTGCTCAAAGGACATTGTCCTGAAGTTGCCATCAGTTGTATTTTTCAGATTCCTACATTGCAAAGGGCCTTAACTTCAATTTGGAATTACACTGTAATATGATGGCCATGATTTTTTTTTTCACGGTAAAGGGCCCTTTAGAGGGCATTACATCTTGCTTGGAATGCACAAATAGTCACTTACCCGTTTTTTTGTGGTATCCAATTCCACTTTGAGCTTTGAATGGGCCTTTTTTTCTTCTCTTAGATTTTGCTCATATTTCATGCGGATGTCATGAATTTCAGCATCTGTGTCCTCCTCTTCCTGCCTTATGTGTTCTTCAAATTCTTTAAACCGCTGCTGGGATTCATCTTGATACTGCAAAAAGTAAAGAGTGAAAAATTGTTATGTTTGCAAATGATAACACAGTCCTGCACATGACAATTTGGCCTAACAAAAGGCCTAATATCATAATATTTTTGATCCCAAGATCCAAAAAAATCTATTAACATCACCAAATAGCTTGAATAAAAGAGAGCACAAGTCTTTGAGACAGTAATTTCTTTAACAACCCTGGGATTGCAGATGGACCAGCTGTTGCCAAGATCATCAATTGGGAGCCAACTAAAACAGATGTTTGGCCCCATTTATCTCTGCATATCTCTGGGTGGTGGGGCAGCACAACAGGGAGCTGTACCACTCCCTGTAGATATACTACCCTGTTGCCTTCCCTGTAGTTCCCTGTACCGCAATACTAAAGCTCAAAATTACTGGCAATGTTGTATGTGGAAAAGTCAATAAAATGCTCACACATTTATGCTGCAAAACAAACTATAGACAGTTGGGTCTGTGGAACCCTTTAAGGGGCCAATCACACAGAGCGCGCTTTGTGCATTGAGAGGCGCCTTGAATGGTTTACTAATGGCTGCGAGTGTTTTGCGCTGCTTACAGACAATAGCCCCTTTCACACATACAGACCTTTCAGTGTATGTGTGAACAGGTCCTTTTTGAAAATACCGGTAAATTCGTTCTGGCTATTTTCCGAAAAGAGAAGTTGTAACATTACCGGCAATTTGCCGGAATGCTGCGCTGTGTGAATGCAGAAGGAAGATTGCCGTAATAAGCACGTGCACGTCTAGAACTTGCTGACATGAGACATCTGATTAGCCAATCACAACAGTCAGGCGCATTTACGTACGCACGGTTTGTGAGAATAAAAGCCTTTGAATATTTTTCCAGACACTTTTAGCTGCTAGAATTTAGTCAGATCACGTTTATATGTTCTTCTTAATGCCAACTGTGTAAATAATCATCGATGAGATGCTTATGATAAGCCGTTGTTTGTTTACCTTCAAGCTTTGCGTGTGCCTGTGAAACAGCCTGTGAGCACCTGCACACGCACATATTATGAACATTTCGACATGCGAAAGTGATCCTGCGAAAGTTGTTCACAATATTGATCATCCACAGAGTTTGTAATTTAGTCAAATGTTTACAAATACAAGCACAGCCGTTTAAAGCTCATTTGTGGTGAATGATGTCAGAATTTATTGGTATTTTGGAATGGATGTGTGAATGCTCTTTTCCAGAAAATTTCCGTAACGTCCTCGCCTGTGTGAACAGCGCTTTTTTGAATATACCGGTAAAGTCGTTCCGGAAATTTTCCAGATATTTACCGGTATCACTGTGTGAAAGGGGCTAATGAGAGAGTAGCATTTACTTGTGTGTGTGTGTGTGTGTGTACCTGCAGATCAGCGGGAGGTTGAGAGAAAATTTCGGTTTATTTAGACCCAAGAAATAGAGGAAAAACGCTCTGGTTACTAAAATAAATACTAAAATAAAAGTGGATTTCATTCCAAGAATGAGGATTTCGTTTCAGAAAGCCAATTGTCTGAAAGAGTATATAAAGGGCCAATGAAATGCCAAATGAGTTGGCAGCGTAAGCTTGTGCAGGTGTGCCTTAAGCCAATTAGCTGCGCATATAAGCACAGGGAAAGCAAGGAAACACCATCCTTTTAAGCTGAAGAGACTGACACTTACAGCTAAGGAACAATCATTATGGCGATGCTATATAGCACTTCCGTTCCCCGAGGGTTACTTTAGTAACCAAAGCGTTCCCCTTTAGATGAGGAACTTCAATGCTATAAGTGGATTTTAAGCCACGAATGGGGAAATGTCTGGAAAACTCCATAATGACTACACCCTACCTTCACCTCAGATGAGAGGATAGACAGGCATAGCGTGAGCGCTCCTGCATCAAAGAGAGGCACGGTCTTCCAACGTAATCCCTGGCCCTTACTTATCCCACTTCAAAGAAGTTTTACGGATTTAACCGAGTTGTTTCCACAATCACCAAGGGTTACCTAATACCCTTGAGGAAACTGGCTCCACTCACAGATTGTAAAACCTTGCAAATGTATTAGGTGTCGCCCAGCCCGCAGCTGTACAGATGTCTGTTAGAGAGGCACCGCGTGCACGCGCCCAAGAGGATGCGATGCTCCGAGTGGAGTGCGCATGCACTCTCGGGGGACACGGCTCACCCTGGCTCTGGTTAGCGAGGGAGATGGCATCCACTATCCAGTGGGCCAACCTCTGTTTTGATACGGCACTTCCCTGCTGCCGACCGCCATAGCAGACGAAGAGCTGCTCAGATGATCTGAAGCTCTGAGTGCGGTCCAGATAAATACGCAAAGCGCCAACTGGAAAAAGTAAGAAAGGGGCTGGGTCTGCCTCCTCCAGGGGCAGCACTTGCAGGCTCACTACCTGGTCTTTAAACGGTGTGGCAGGAACCTTGGGCACCTATGTTAGGTGACGCAGTGCGCAGTAGGTAGTGCTGTCACCTCACAGCAAGAAGGTCGCTGGTTCGAGCCTCCGGTCAGTCTGCGTTTCTGTGTGGAGTTTGCATGTTCTCCCTTCATTCATGTGAGTTTCCTCCGGGTACTCAGGTTTCCCTCACAGTCCAAAGACATGCGGTTCAGGTGAATTGGGTAGGCTAAATTGTCCAAAGTGTATGAGTGTGTGAATGTGTGTGGATGTTTCCCAAAGATGGGTTGCGGCTGGAAGGGCATCCGCTGCATAGAAAATTGCTGGATAAGTTTGGCGGTCTATTCCTCTGTGGCGATCCCCGGATTAATAAAAGGACTAAGCGGACAAGAAAATGAATGAAGGAATGAGTTGGTAGGTTACCCAAGTCTTCCTCGCGTCTAAGGACCACATAGTGAGGTTCCAAAGATCGGGGCGAGGGTGCCAGATGGTGCCCTGTCCCTGATAGAGTAGGTCCTCTTTCAAAGGGATCTGCCAGGGGAGGGCTGTCGCGATGAGGGAGAGTTCTGACATTCAGGTCCGCTTGGGACAGAGATGCAAAACTAATAAGACCTGCTCCTCGTCCTGCCTGACCTTGCACAGTAGCTGTGCGAGCAGGCTCACTGGGGGAAACACATAATTGCACATTTCCCGAGGCCAGCTGTGGGCCAGTGCATCTGTGTCGAGAAAGCCCTCAGTCAGGGAAAAAAAAAAAATGTCTCCAGAGGAGCAGACAGTGGGCGAGCTGAAACATGCGGCGAGAGTGGATATCCCCATGCGGTTTATATACACCGTCACTGCCATGCTGTCCTTCCTGACAAGCACGTGCTGCTGCTCCAGCCCCTGAAAAAAAAACGGTTGAAAGCGAGGAACATTGCTCTAGGCGATTGATATGCCAATGCAACTGGGATTCTTTCCACAGGCCCGCAGCTGCATACCCGCAACACACAGCACCCCTGCCCATGCTGGAAGCATATGTTGTGTGTTTTGTGTGTGCCCACGTGCCATGTGCGCCTGGGGACTCAATCGTAAAGTCAGTGCTGAAGTGGTCTCATTTGGAGTAATCCGAGCTGTGTGACAGTGGCTGCAGATGTCATATGCCCCAGAAGACTCTGACAGGATTTCAGTGGGACCACTATTTTGCTGTTGAACTCTCTCAGACAGTTCAGCATTAGCTGAGCGCACTCTCCGGAGAGGAGCACTGTCATGGTGACCGAGTCCAGCTCCAGCCCGAGAAAAGACCTGAAGCCCCAACAGGTGAAGGTGCTGGAGCATGATCAATTGCTCCCAAGATTGGGCTAAAATCAGTAAGTCGTCAAGATAATCGAGTATGTGAATGCCTGCGAGCCAAAGGTGTGCTAAGTCACCCTCCGCGAGCTTGGTGAAGACAGAGACATAGAGAGCTCAAAGGGGAGGACTTTGTTTTGCCAAGCCCAACCTTCGAACACAAACCGCAGAAACTCACTGTGGTGTGGAAGAATAGGGACATGGAAATACGTGCCCTTCAGGTCTATTGTTGCAAACCAATCGCAAGGATGATCGCACCAGAGGATGTGTTTTTGCATAAGTAGTCTGAACGGCAGCTTGTGCGGACAGCATTTCAAATTGCACAGATCTAAGATTGGCCGTGACTCAATGTTCTTTTTGGGCATGATGATGTACGGGCTGTAAAACCCGCTCACTATCTCGGCTGGAGGGACCAGCTCAATTGCATCCTTCGCCAGGAGGACAGCAATCACTTCTCACAAGTCAAGGGCAGACAGGGGAATAACCCTGTTGAAATACACAACTGTGAACTTGGGGGGAGGCGAAGGGCTGGCCTGCACTAACAAAGCAGGCAGAGCTCTCGCTAATGGACTTATCGCTACAATTAGTAACGTACCAACAGTGGGGCAGCGCGGAGTGGGTGTGCTGATCTGGGAAGCAATGGGGTCCCGCAGGAGAGCTGGAGGCGATAGATTCACTCACACATCGCACGCATGCCCCGGAGGTGAGGCTCGAGGGATGGGATAAAGGACATCGCCCTCCCAGAGCCTGTGAGCCAACGGCGAAATGCGCAGAACCTGCGAGCTGAATGGCATAGCATCCCAGACTGGCGGAGTTCGGGCTGTCACATCCGGGGGAGTGGAAAAGTGCTCTTTTATTGATGTTTTCGTGGCCCGGCTCTCCAGTGGGGAAAGAGCAAATTCCCTCTTTTTCGCATAGCCTGTCTCAGAGACAATTCGTGGTCTATTTACCGGACTTAAAGGTGCCATGGGCAGGGGGGTTGCCTGCTTCTGTGGTGCTCAACAGGCCCGCTTCGCTGGAGGCTGAGCAGCTCTTGTACGCGGACACTCTTGGCGAGGAGCAGCAGATGTGGATGGCTTGGTGGCGGAGCGGGCTTACGGCCCCGCCAATAGTTGACATTACCCATCGCATCTGACTGCTCTCTCACCGCCCTGAATTCCTGGGTGAATTCATTGACTAGGTCGCAGAACAGGCCAGACTGGGATATGGGGGAGCCAAGAAAGCGAACTTTATTGATTTCACGCATCTTCGTCAGGTTTAGCCAGAGGTGGCGCTCCTGGACCACTAAT